GTGGCGCACCCCTAGGTTTTTTATTTTTACGCACAACGGGCCGTTAAGGCCTAGAGCATTTTTTTACAACATAATCCTAATACTAACTAGTTACAGTTATTTTAAACAAAACTTTAACGTAAATATGTACATATAACATTCTTAACTATTTCGAAGGACCTGGTGTATTTTGTGCTTTTATTTTCCAGTCCCTCACCTTCACGTGTTTAAGGTCTTCCTCCGCTTTACTAATCCACCTCGTTCTGGGTCTACCTCTTTTTTTTGGGGCCGATTAATTTTCTGGTTATTACTAGTTTAGGCATTCTGTTTGCTGCCATTTTTTCCACGTGTCCCAACCATCTGATTCTTTGTGCCTTGACGAACTTGGTAATGGTAGGTTCTTTGTATAAAGCCATTAATTCATTGTTAGTTCTTCTTTCCCAACCATCTTCTGTCTTCCGTCCTCCGAATATGCGTCTCAATATTTTCCTGTTCCATCTTTCCAGAGTATCCTCTTCCTTCTTATTTAATGTCCATGTCTCACCGGCATGTTACTGTGGGTCGAACTACTGTTTTAAATATTCTGAGTTTACCTTGTCTAGAAACGTATTTCGAGTTCAGTAGGGCTCTTAAACTACCTAATTTTTTATTCCCTTTTGCTATTCTGGCTTCGAGCTCTCACTTCTCTTTTCCATTTTCATCGAAAACTACACCCAGGTATTCAAATTTGTCCACCCTTTTAAAACTATAGCTTTTACCACTTACTGACCTCACACTAAAGTCTTCTTTTTCCCTTCTGTCCATTCCATTATCATATATTTGGTTTTGTCTTAATTTAGTTCCAATCCGAATTTCTGTGCTTCTTCGATGATTTTATTCACAACTCATCTTAATTCTTTCTCGGTTTTTGCTACGATCGTTAGATCGTCAGCAAATGCCAAGCACTGGTACTAATTGTTCATGATCGTTAAATCATTCGAAATCATCATCAAATTCGAAAAAACCTTCATTACAAGCATTTTTGGCTTATTCCCGTATAAATACAATTTTTTAACTCGACATGCTACAAAAAAACAGTTTCAGAATCTTGGTAACTGAAATAATTGATAACGAGAAATTTTAATTCATTCTGAGAAACTTTAGTGTTTCTTAGAAAGAACACTAAATTTACACAATCATTTTCAAACGGATTGTAGACCTATACACACAAAATTATACATCGGGTAAAAGATTTTTAGTAATTTAATTGTTGTGTTTATGTTCTTAGGATCCTGCAACAGTAGTGAATTTAAAGGAGTCTGTGTAGCGGAAAACATTGCGAACTACTGCGAAGCTATTCTGAACACAAATGACCTCTGCACACCAGGGTTAAGATGTTGCGTGTCAAGTGTCACATTTGGTGACAAAGTACCTTCCAATTTAATCTACCCAAACAAAACAAAAACCAATTATACAAAAATTGAAACAAGGACAACCCCTAGACCATATAGTTCCACGACTTACCCAGTGAAGAAAACAACAGTCTCGCAACCAGTAACTTTAAAAGAGTGTAATGGAGAATGTGTCAGCGGATTATTTGCACTTTTTTGTGATGATATTGACTCTGAAGCAGACTGTGAAAGTGGAGCTAGTTGTTGTATTACTGAACCTGTGGTAATATAATTATTTTAAATTTGTTAAGAACTAACTTTACTAACTTTTACGGCATTTATATATCTATTGTGGATGTATCCTCTTCTGCTTAAGGCTATTCTAGATCAGTGTTTCCCAAAGTGGGGGTCGCGACCCCTGGGGGGTCGCCATGAGGTACAAGGGGGGTCGCCGAACATTTCCAAAATAAGACAAAATCACCACTTTGTTAGATCATGTATTTTTATTTTAACAACGCCGTAAATAGAAATTAACAATTAATCAGACGAAATATAAAACTAAATATTAAAGTCCGTAAAAATAAAAGAGCAAAACAAAGTCAAATATTATAATCTTAATAAGAGCTATGCGCCTGTTTCTGTTAAACTAATCTTTCAAATCTAGGCTGTGTATTTGAGACACACACAATTATATCATCTTCAAGTACGAGACGATTTCTAATTCTTATTTTAATGGCAGTCATAGACGAGAAACTTAACTTACACAAATATGATGTTACAAATGGAACCAAACATTTTACAGCTTCACTCGCCAACTGGGGGTATTCCTGCATCTTTTCGGTCCAAAATTGGTCCGAGTTCTGGGAAAAAAATTGGAGCTTCAACATTCCATCACTTGATATTTCAATAAGTTTTTCTTTCATGTTTATTGGTATTTCAACATGCTGAAAGGAATCGGCTAAAAACGTATTTAGTATCCATCTGCAACTGTCGTAACTGTTTTGAATTTCTTCGGGGAAATAATCACAGAGCTGTTGTTTTAAATTGAGCAAAGTAACATGCATGTCATCAAAAACTTGTTCAAAATTTGTAGCACTGTAATTGGATACATTTTCCATAATTTCCTGAAGGCACTGGAATGAATCGACTTGTTTTTTGCCAAGTGAGGTCGACCATAAATCGATTTTTCTTAGAAACGCCTTAATTTTATCTGTGGCTGTAATTATATTAATGTCGCGACCTTCTAAATCACTGTTCAAAATATTTAATTGCTCGAAAATATCAGCAAGGAAACCTAGTTTCAGAAGCCAAATAGGATCGGGAAATTGATTTTCATATGGGGACTTCTCATCTTTCAAATACATTAAAAGCTCCGCTCTTAAGTGAAATACTGTTTTGAAGACGTTGCCCCTTGAAAGCCACCTTACTTCGGTGTGATAGAGAAGATTTTCAAATAAAGCACCCATGTCTTCGCAATTTTTTCTAAAAATGCGGGTCTGCAAAGCTTTTCTTTTATTGGAATTTACAACTTTAATGATGGTTTTCGTAACACAGTCCATTTCAGGAGGTAAAGCTTTGGACGCAAGAGCTTCTCGATGTAAAAAACAATGTCTCCATTTGGCATTATTTCTTGTAATTTGACGGCAAGACCAGATGTATGTCCTGTCATAGCTTTAGGGCCATCTGTGCATATAGCAATACATTTACCCCAGTCAATATCATATTTACTTGTACGTTTCACAAAAGGGTCGAGTAACCATTTTCCAGTGGTATTGGTCTCCAATGGGGAACAAAATAAAATATCTTCTTAAATGCCATTATTTGTATCATATCTTACAAACGTAATGAATTGCGCACAGTTAGATATATCTGTGGATTCGTCCATTTGAAGAGAGAAGTACGTGCATTTATTAAGATTTGAATAAATGAATGGGGGGAAAATTGGGGGGTCGCGAACAAATTTTTTAGCAAAAGGGGGTCGCAATTTAGATAAGTTTGGGAAACTCTGTTCTAGAGTTTCATCACTATTACATTTATTAAGCCTTGTTCATTAATATTATTGTCCTATTTTCGATTAATTTTAAGATATACTCTTCATTAAGGTCTACTCTAATTTGAGAACTTTTTAATAGGTCTTTCTGTCACAGCTCGAACTCACCTCGAACACTTCATTTCTAAACCCAACTCTTGTTTTTCTGCCTCTGGGATAAGTATATGAGTCGTGAGGTTGAGTAGTCGCTCGAAGACTTTAGCCAGAACATTTAGTACAGAAATCGGCTTGTAAGAGGTAGGATTGATCCTGTGTTTGCCTTTTTTAGAGCGCAAAACTTTATTCGCTACTTTCTAAGACGTTAGAAAGTAACAGAGTTAAGTGAGGCTCTGACTATTTCCATAAGATAGTGGGTGAAGCTCGGTTCAGATAGTTCCAGGGAATTTTGTTAGATCTTGGAGAAAGGGAGTTGCCTATTTGGCAGTAGTTTTCCAATGTTTGTTGATCCATGAGTCCGTGCTTATGGGGTATCTTTGAGTCTAAAGATGTTCGAGTTGTCATTGTGTATATCTCTCAGTGATCACACGAAAGACCTGGTCAAATCTAGGATCGTTTAGGATGGTGAATATGTTTTATGGATTTTGAAGGCCTCAAAATACATCTTCAACAAAGTCGGGCATTTGTACTGTTTTACAAAACACTTGGAATTGGTGTGTTTATTCCGACAGCGCTTTAGGCGTAGGTGGGACTGGATTGCCATTTTAAGAGGGAGTTCGACATAGAGCCTAAACTCGTCTAGGAAAACACGTTGTGTCAGCTCGGTAAACTAGATGTGATGATTTTAACAAAGGATGTTGTGGTGTTGGATTTAGATATATTCCACCATAGTTGAACTATGTAGATATCCATCTTCTGAAGGCCTGTATTATCTATAATTTGCTCATATAGTTTAACTCCTGTATTTAGAGCGATTCCACAATAATTTTTATTGTCGTTTTGATCTTTCTTTTTAAAACTTGGAAGTATAATTCTCATTTTCCAGTCTTTTGTTACCATTTCTTCATTCCAGGCTTTGTTGCAATTATATAAAAACAATTCCTCCCTGTTTTATCCGTATACTGAAACATTTCACCAGTGATTTAATCATACTCTGCTGCTTTCCCAACTTAACTTAAAATTATCAAAGTACGGTTCTTATTGTCGTCTGATGTTGAATTAATTTCCTTATCACACTGCATGAAAAACCTTCGGCCAGTCCGTAGGACCTTGGGCTATTATCTGTAGATTTGAAACTGAGACTATTAAACTGATTTTATTCGATTAATTTATTAATTAGAATTTATTTAACTACTCTTGAAGGTTTTATAATCTTTTTGCATTTGCTACTCACTTTTATGTAATTACTGGCCAGTTTCGTTTATTTTGTTTTCTCGTAATTCAGCAGAAATTGATGGTTTATTACGGATCAAATCACACGTTCTTTGCCGATAAATGCAGGACCGGACCAATGGTCTATTAAATTAAATTCTATTAAATGTTATTGTTAATAACTGTTCATTCATGTATGAATTAATTTCAAGAAAGTATATATTTATGTTAATGTTGATGATTATTTTTAGTCAAACAACGAATCTGAGCCTGAGAAGTCGGTATCTCCTACAATGAGGCCACCATTGCCAGTTACAACTACCAGGCCAATTATACGTGATCCAGGACCGATCTGCCCAGGATTTTGTCTGCTCAATATAATGGCAGCTTTTTGCGAGAGACCGTCAGTTTTAATTCCTCATACATCAAACTGCAAAAGAGGATCTGTGTGTTGCGATAACACCAGAGCAATGACTTCTGCTCCTAAGCCAAAACCGAAACCTCACTATTCAGTTTCGACCACGACAACCACTGTGGATCCCAGACCAGAGTGTCCAGGTTCTTGTATAGTCTCATACTTGAGCTTCACTTGTTTTAGTATGTATAGTTTTATATACAAGGCGTAAACTATTACATATCACGTAAATTTCAGCAAAACTAACACGTCATTTATTATTTTTAGGAAATGCTGAAATGACAGAAATATTTAGATGCAAAAAAGCTGGAACGAAATGTTGTGCACCGAAATCACTAATTAAAGATGCTTTAGGTCAGAAGGATGACTTACCTTTCGAGGAAAGTACTATACAATCTTTAAGCATGTCTTATACAACAATATCATCGGCAAACCCTACTCATTTTGCAAGTATGTATTCTTTTTTTTACAAATTATATTTTTAATATTTTTATAGAACAAAGTTACAGATTTTCTTTTTATCTATTCGTGGATAACTGTTGATTTTTTTAAACTGTTTAGGATAAATGTTATTAATAAGTACTTTTAAACTCATTTTAGCAACTGAAATGACCAGATTGCAATCTACAACTTCAAAATCTCCAGTGTACAGCAAATATGTCTGCGGCGTAAAAGGTACTGCTCGTGTTGGAAGAGTGGTAGGTGGAGAAGACGGGGAACAAGGCGAATGGTGTTGGCAAGTAGCATTAATAAACTCCTTGAATCAGTACTTATGCGGAGCTGCATTGATTGGAACTCAGTGGGTTTTAACAGCCGCCCATTGTGTCACAAAGTAATACAAATACAACCAGTATATTCCATTTCTGTTATTAATTGTTTATTTCTAGCATTGTTCGCTCGGGTGATGCAATATATGTTCGAGTGGGTGATCACGATCTAACCAGAAAATACGGCAATTCTGAGGCGCAAACCTTACGAGTGGCAACAACATACATTCACCATAATCATAATAGCCAAACTTTAGATAACGATATAGCTCTCTTGAAGCTTCATGGACAAGCCGAGTTAAAAGAAGGCGTATGTTTGGTATGCTTACCAGCTAGAGGAGTAAGCCATGCTGCTGGAAAAAGATGCACAGTTACGGGATATGGCTATATGGGAGAAGGTAAGTAATTTCCCACCCTTTTCCAACAAAAACGGTAAGTGTCACTCCGGGAAGTGACCGAGAAGTGGAAGCATAGCTTTCTTATCGTCTACGCATAGAGCGATGGATTTAAAACTTAATTTAATTTATTTTACCTCATTTAATTTTATTTTGTTTTATTATATTTATTTTATTTTATTTAATTGAGAAACTCTCATAGAACTGCGTTTACTGCTCCGCATAGTGTGTGGTCGTGCCTTGTGTCGTTGAATTGCGTTTCTGTTGTTTTTATTTTTTCGCACTTCTGCGCGATCCATTGCACCGTTCAATGTCCATAGCCCGTAATAAGAAAGCTATGCTTCTAAGAATAGTAAGTTGTTGGTATTTATTTTATTTGTTTTTCGTTTCCTTATCATTCTATATTCTACTTTCCTCAAGACTTTTAATGTTCAGACACTTTATTTATCCAGATTTAGCCATACGGCCCACACTCCCTCTAAGGGAAAATTCACTCATCCCAGATAGCTACGGTATCAGAAGGATTGAGCTCTGGTGGGACTCTTTCCGTGTTATCGAGCCCTAGGTGACTTGGTATGTTGGAGTATCTCCCAAAAATTTTTGTACACATCTGGACGTCGCGAGGAGTACAGCTTTCTGCATGGCCCTATAAAGATGTTCATTTAAACCAAGCTGTTTTATGTTCGCTAGGAGGTTTTTGGGAATAACACCAGTAGTAGATAGAACAATAGGTACTGTCTGGGTGCTTTTCATTCTCCATTGTCTCTTGATTTGTATTTCTAGATCTCTATACTTGGCAATCTTTTCGTTGTATTTAACACGCAAATTGTTAGTGTTAGGTATCGCCACATCAATAAGTGTTGTTTGCCTGTTAATTTTATTTACTAGTATGAGATCAGGTCTATTATGGGCCACTGGTTGGTCTGTGAGCACAGTGCGGTCCCAGTATAGCTTGTAGTTGTCATTTTCAAGCATTCTGTCAAGGACATATTGATAATAAGGAAGATGGTCGGTTTGGAGAAGTCCCAGTTTATCAGCTAGTTCTTGGTGGATAATCTTTCCTACTGAGTCATGGCGTTCTTTATAATCGGTACCGACAAATGCCTAGCAGCCACCGGTAAGATGTTGGATGGTTTCTTGGGCTTGGCATCCATATCAGCATTTGTCATTTTGGACTTGAGGATCTTTAACAATATATTTTAGGTAATTTTTAGTTGGAATTACCTGATCCTGAATGGCAAGTAGGAAAACCTCAGTCTCGGGAAACATTTTTCCTGATGTCAACCAATAGTTCGACGATGTATTGTCGACATATTCTTGGCTGATCTCATTGAGATGTCGCCCATGCAGAGGTTTACTCCTCCAGGTGCGCATCCAGCCACTTTATTTATTATTATTAATATTATTATTATTATTATACATAAGCGAGGGCAGAGGAACTAAGTCCCTATTATGCCCAAAAACAAAGAAATTTCATTAATAACCTACTAGTAAACAACAAAATTACAAATAAAAGAAATAAAGTTACAATTTTTGGTTTAAAAGAAAAACAATATTTTAACTATAATATAAACTGTAATATAGTCTGTTTTTGAACGAGTGGGCCGAGAGAGCAGAGACAATGTTATCATTAAGGTTATTCCAGCACTCAAAAACTCTATTTGGTAGAAAGTTCTGTCTTGATCTTATAGAAAATTTTTTTTCTTTAGTTTAAACTGATGACCTTTGAGGCGTTCATCTTGATTAATGGTAAACATTTCATCGGGATTTCCAAAATTGAAATTTAGTATTTTAAAAGTTGTAACTAAGTCTCCACGTTGTCTGCGAAGTTCAAAAGAAGTTAGGTTAGCCATACTAAGTCTTTCTGCATAAGAAGGTCTTTTCAGTCTCACAGAAATTCGAGTGACTTTTCTTTGGACGTTTTCCAACAAAGTCTTGTCTCGAACTAGATCAGGATACCACGTTGGTCCAGCGTATTTAAGTACGGGTCTTATGTACAGAGTGTAAAGTTTACAGAATGTTCTATCTTATGTAGAAGTCTGCGCTTAGGTACACGGTCAAAGGCTTGAGAAATCTAGATAAACAACGTCGAGCGGCTGCGAAATGTTAAGGGATGACGTACAATCGTTAACACAATGTAAGAGATTGAGATTGTTTAGAGTAGAGCGACCAGAGACAAATCTATGTTGTTGTGTTGGAATAACATGTTCCTGGAGAAGGATTTTGGTCATCTCATCGAAAATAATGGCAGCAAGCTAATCGGACGATAATTGTTTGGGTCGAGTTAACGGAAGCTAATTTCCAACTAGGGGTGAGGAGTTCTGGATAAAAGAAGTTTGCATAATTAATGTTAAGGGTATTGCAAGCGTGTCTGCGCACCTTTTTAACAGTTTTGGTGTTAAACCATCTAAATCAGGTGAAGCGGATGTGCGAAGTTTAATTAAGTGTTGTTTGACATGATCCACTGTGAATTCAACTTACTGTAAGGATGCGCCGACACGATTACAGTTAATAGCAGGTAGATAACCATCATTCGATTCTTTAGTAAAAACCTGTGAAAATGCTAAAGATTCGGAAGATTCTTTGTCAGAAGTCTGGTTGGGGTTTTGAAATAGAGGAATGGAAACTTTAGACGTGATGGACGAACGTATGTATTTGTAGACTTTTTTAATGTTACCACTTTCAATAACATTTGCTTAAAAATTTTGTCTTAGGGTTATTAGAGATGTTTTTAAGTTATTTAAAAATCTGCGGTAGCTTTGAAAATCACTAAGAAGCCCGGTGTGTTTAAATTTTAGCCATAGATGTCGTTTGTGATTCATTTGTTTAATTGCTGTTCGATTTACCTAGGGTTTAAGGTTGTTTTTATAACTCTTACTGAAAGTGGTATTTGTGGCAATTATATTGTGGACTTTATCGAGAAATGCAGTCCACATGAATGAGGGGACGTTTAAGTTTGCAAAAAATAAATGCCAGTCGATTTGAGAGAGTTCAATGTCAACTTCAGAAAAGTCGGTAGTAGCATATGTTATAATATTATATTTGCGGGGTATGATTTGATTGAACTGGATGTGAACTGCATGATCTGACTTTCCTATAGGAGAACTGATTTCGAAAGATGAAATCAGTTGTTCATCATTAATAAGCACTAGATCTAAAGTAGAAGATTGGTTATTATTTCTAAATCTAATCGGTTCTATAATTAATTGTATCAAGTTTGAATTTACTACAAAGCTTTTAAATAAATTATGAGCGTTTTCGGCGCCAGATAATGAAGTTATTGGCCAGGTGATCTCTGAGAAATTAAAATCTCCAGTAATAATAAGATTATCAAGAGATAATACGTAGTTCTTCAAGTTTTGTGAAGAAAACATTATCGTGTGCAAGTAGTGTAATAGGTGGAAGATATATACATACTAAATTAAGGAAAAATATTTAGTAACAGGGATATTTAGTAACAGGAATATTTAGTAACAGATAAGTGAATTGCATCTATTCCAGTAATATCTATTAGCTTAATGTTTTTTTGAAAGTTGTGGTAATAATATTAGATAAATAAATGCATACACCGCTACCCACACGATTTTCTCTGTCTTTACGATATATTGTATGTCTATTTATATTAACAGATGAGTCAGGAAGTGTGGGTTTAAGCCAGGATTCGGCAATACAAATAATGTCCGGTTTAAAAAGTTGCACTGTGTATACAAATTCGTCAAACTTAGCGGAAAGTGAATCTAAATTAGTATATAGAAATAGCCAGTCATTAAATATGTCGCTAGAAAAATTATAAACGAAATTTCGTGATTCTGGGAGTGCCATTGATGTATTTAATAGTTAAATCATGTTCACCGTTATTTTTGCGAGTTTCTAGCTCACTTTGGAGTTCTTTTAAACGTACTTGTTGGATAGGCGTCTTGTCGTCGATTATTGAGAATTTTTCCGTGGCTTTGTTCTCAAGAAGTTTTGCTTTATTTCTCAGAATATCTTTAACGTGGAATTCCGAACCCATTACTACCTTTATCATTCGGGGAAATCGTTGGTTTGCTTTTCCGACTCTGTAGAAGGTGATTTGCTTTTCCTGGCAGCCAACAGTATCCAAAACAAGCTTAACTTTATTCGCCTTAACTCAGTTATTTTATTATCAAAATCATCAATTTTCGTACAAATTTCCATTTTAAAATCTAGCAGACCATCTTTTATTTCTGAAATATTAGAAATATTGGAGATGCAAGAGTAACAAAGTATACTCAGTCCACGAATTTTCTGTCAGGTGACGTGATCCTCCAAAGAATACCGTCCTCGGTATATGTGATATGTATTTGTCGCTTACATTCATTGGACTGAACTTTGCGGTCAGCTGTCACTATGGTTTTCGAGCAGTTCGAACAAAAAAATGATGGACGGCATGGTCCGGTTTTTCGTGTATGTAGAATTAGTATTTGGTTTTATATTAATAAATAATGGAATGGTGCTCACACTAATTATTCGCTGTAATTGCACTTTTTACACAAAATTTTAACAAAAACTACTGACTATTGATATATAGAACAATCATGCAAAATTTCTTTGCGAAATAATTATTTTCTACAGAGTAATCGTGATACAGGTTCTATGATATTCATAATCATTTCATTTAAAAATATCTGATTCTTTCACGCACCAATTTCGTTTTTAATTCTTTATTTCCTTTTAGCTGGTCCAATTCCACTAAAAGTGAGAGAAGCAGAGATACCAATCGTCAGCGATGCAGAATGCATAAGGAAGATAAATGCTGTAACAGAGAAAATTTTTATTCTCCCGGCAAGTAGTTTTTGCGCGGGTGGTGAAGAGGGAAATGACGCGTGTCAAGGTGATGGTGGGGGGCCGTTAGTGTGTCAAGACGACGGATTCTATGAATTAGCAGGACTCGTTTCATGGGGATTTGGTTGTGGCAGACTCGATGTTCCAGGTGTATATGTTAAAGTTTCTTCATTTATTGGTTGGGTTAATCAAATCATTAGTGTTAATA